TGTTTGAGGACCCAGCCCTAGCAGCAGAGCCACAGCAGGAGCAGGAGCAGCGACCTCCGAAGAGGATGAGGATGATCCCGAGTGCAGATGATGCCATCATCCAGTTGGCGGACCCACCGGAGGCTTCCTCCCGTCAGCCATAGGATGTATCTGATACACAGCCTATCCAGGTCCAGGCACAGGTCCTAGCAGCTGAGCAGCAGGATATCGGGAACCAGTCTGAGATTCCAGAGCATACAGAAGACCCAGGGACCGCCCATGATCCGATGCAGACGGACACGACTTAAGGAGTCTTCATATCCTTCCTCTATTTTATTTTTGGTGCTTATCTGATTTAGTTGGCATTGAGGACAATGCTAGCTTTTATTTGAGGGGGTGCGCCCTTTATCTTTGGATGACTGTACATATATACTGATTTAGTTTATGCTTTTTTGATTTTCATTTGGGTCTATATATAACTTTACATTTAGTTACTTTTATCACACTTTTTATCTTTCATTTGGTCTGTATATAAAGTTACATCATTGTATATATTCATGCCCCGTTGTATATTCAAATCCCCTATTGTATATATTCGTTCTATTTTCGTAAAAGTTTTCGTTGTTAGCTTCTTAATTATATTTGTAGCTTTTTGTTTCATTTTTGACGCTTTTAATAAGCCTTTGGTTTTCTTAATACCACGGTTCTTTCCAAAGGTGGAGTATTGTGTGAACCGGGTGGCTCTTCCCGATAATGGATGGCGTGACAAGCTTTTTAAGGGTTTGAGTCTGTTTTTATTTTTGTTTTTGGTAGTTTATAGTTAAGGGTACCTCAAGAAAAGCTTCACTTGGGCCTAGCACATTTGCCTTTAATCCCATGGTCAAAGACAAAATCTTGTGTTTAGGATGGTGAAAGTCGTGACCTTGAGACTCTTGCGTCGACCAACAATCATCAAGTGGTCTTTCGGGACCATTGTGTGCTCATCGTGTCTAAGGTTGTTGTGGGCCCCCGACTCTATGTCTTTAGAAATCCTTTAGCTTGTGTGGTGAGAAATTGAATTGCGAGTCCAAGCCCGGAGACATTGGTCTAGAACTTGCCCTGAATGTTTATTGAGGTGAAATCTTAGGTGAAATTTGACTTGAGAAGTGATTATAGACTCTCCTTGATCCAAATGATAGTCGAACAATTCCATAGCCTACCAATGATATGATCCCTAGTAAACTCTTTTGAGCCTTAAACCTTTTTTTTAGAAACCATGATACAAGCCTATACCCGTTAAAAGATACCCTTTCTTGGCACCCGATCTTTCCTTGAGCACATGGCAAAAGTATATGTTTGGGGGGATAGATGAGGAAGGGAACAAAGTGGTAAAAGGTACAAAAGCGAAGAAAAGGAAAGGCAATGAAAAAGAAAGAAAAGAAAAAGACAAAAAGAAAGCCCAATGTGAAAAAGAATAAAAAGGGATTCAGGATATTTCCTCTGATTCCGTGTCCGAATATGTCCCTGACTGGCCCGGGAGAATGATATTGACTGATGATACTCCTCCACCCACACCCACTTCCCAAGTAGTAGATCATGTCTCCACTGAGTCGTCTGAGGTCTCAGCAGCCGGCAGTGGCGAGTACTCCACCTCCCCAACAGCTTTATTTTCTGGGGAGAGTGCAGGCGTAGGTGATGAGGGAGATGAGGAGGTACCTGAGGGTGGTGAGTCTCAGGTTAGGGGGATTTCCCATACTAGGAAACCCGAAGTCTGGGAGGATAGGTTTGTAAGCCAAGTAGCATACTACAAATTTAGGGAGTGGTGGCCGGTGCAAAAACTGATTTTGGAGAGGAGTTTAGTAGATAGAGATCTTCTACCCCTAAACCCCGATGTGCATAGATAGTTTAGAACAAGAGTGGGGTGGGAGCACTTTATAGATGACTGCAGGGAGACAAATGAACACTTGGTCAATGAGTTTTACTGTAATGTGGCCCACATCGTCAAAGGCTCCAAAGTGACTAAGGTTCAAAACAAAAAGGTGTTGTTCGATGGGAAGTCTCTAAATGAATATTTGGGCTTCAATGAGGAAGATGAATCTCTTTATATGGCAAAGCTGGAGATGGGCAAGGAGGTCCGTACATGGTTAGCTCAGTACTTGGAAATCCCAGGTACCGTTCTGGAGTGGTTGACTGTTGGGGTCAAAATATTATGGAGGACCCTAAACTTTGAGGTGAAGGGCTAAGAGACATTTGTGTGTAGCCGGTTAGACCCTAATACCCATGACCAGACACTTCCTCTCCACCGGGCTGTTTCGGTTGCTTCCATTATGGCGGGGTACCCCATAAACGTGGGGAATGTGATGTCCCGGATCATTTCTATAGTGGGTGCCAAGAGCGACCGGAACTATCCTTTCCCCAACACCCTTACTATGTACTTCCGGGACATGCAGGTGGACAAGAGACCATACGACATCAAGTTCAAGGAGACAGCCCCGTTCTCCTGGTACAGCTTGAAGGGGAATGACAACCCCAAGGATAAGAACAACAAAGCCCCTGCTTCTACCTCAACTAGCCAGTCTGAAGAGCCAGTTGTGGTAGAGACCCCAGCTGAGCCAGCCTCACTCATACTGAGATGCCTCCTGGACCCTCCACTTTAGATATTCCTCCAGGCCCTTCCACATCAGCGGGCCCAGAGATTCCATCTACTCGGGCCCATCCTATCATTGCCCACCGGCTGAGCCAAATGCTTCAGAGTTTAAACAACTGGATGTATACTGCATTATCCAAGTTGTCTACCTTGACCTCCACCATTGCAGCTCAGTCGGCCCCTCAGCCAGCACAGGTCCCACAGTCTATAGAGGATGCCTTAAAGAAGATAATTGAAAACTAGGAGAAGATCCTCAGTACACAGGCTGATTTGGCAAAGGCAGTGGATTCACATGGCAAGGCTCTGAAGGAGCTTGCCAAGGAGCACAAGAAGCTATGCAAGACACGGGCCTCCAAGGAGTCCGTGAAGGAGCTACCGGCGGATGTGGATAGATTGAAGGCAGACCAGCTGCCTTTAGACTTATTATTTGAGGACTCAGCCCCAGCATTAGTGCCGCCAGCAGAGCCACAGCAGGAGCAGGAGCAGCGACCTCCAAATAGGAGGAGGATGATCCCGAGCGCATATGATGCCATCATCTAGTTGGCAGACCCACCGAAGGCTTCCTCCCGTCAGCCACAGGATGTATCTGATACACAGCCTGTCCAGGTCCAGGCACTGGTCCCAGCAGCTGAGCAGCAGGAGTCTGTAGCGAAACAGCTTCAGCCCATTTAGAGAAATAGTCTGTAGCGGCCAATATGTACATCTGTCCTTTTGATTACTTTGGAAGTGGTCCAACAACGTCAAATCCACATGCATCAAAAGGCCATGAAGCTATAGTTGGGTGAAGAGGCTTTGGAGGTTGGTGGATGTAGTTGGCATGAAATTGACACGCTTGACATCTTTTGGCATGATCCATGCAATCTTTCACCATTGTCGCCCAGGGTCGCAATAGCTTTTACCTNTCGCAATAGCTTTTACCCGATATGAGGGTCGGGATCGAATTCCTTAGGGAGCTAGGAAGGGAGTTGAGTATCTGTCTAGACTAGAGTCGTGTAATTGTTCCAAATGTCACTTCCAATCATCTTTTGATTTTTCTCTAACAAACTAATATTATCAACTACTAATTAGAACTAAATTATGCTAATGAGAAAATTGCTAGAGTTGTATCTAATGGGTAGAAAGGCACTAGGGTAGTGACTTTCACCTAGATGGATAATTGATGGGTAAATGCTTCTAAGGTTCGATTGTCATGATTGGGGAAATATGCTATAACCGTTGTACAATTTTACCCACTCTCACACCTTTCGGTAGAGAAAGTGATTTTGCCCAATTGACTCTCTCGAGACCAAATAGGTAGGCGAATTAGCTCAAGCAACTAGGGTTCAAGTCGGGTAATTACTCTCTCGAGGTTTAACCCTTTAATTGGGACTATCAGTTCTCTTGAGTCCATCCCAATTCCTTTGTTGGGTCAATTTTGGAGACTTAGGCTCTCTTTCTCAAGAAGAGCCAAGTCAACTTAGCACAAACCAATGTTTGCAACCACCAATTCATAGATTAAACCATAAAATTATCCTAAATAGTATCCATAGTCAATCTAACCCTAGATGTCAACACCCATCAATTACCCACACTAGGGTTGAGCCACAACCCTAGCTAATGAGTTTAGCTACTCATGCTTGAAGAAGAGAATAGAGAAATAGATGAAGAACAAGACATATTAATTAAAAGTTAATGTAAATATAGAGAATCTATCATTAAATCTAAGTTGAGATGCCAAAAATGGCTACACAATAGCTTCTCACGAGCGTAGCCTTGTTCAAAAAATAGCTTATACCTTAAAAATAGAAAATTGTTCTATTTATACTAAGCTAGAAAAACTGGACAAAAATGCCCCTGCAAGGTCAGTGCGGACCGCACAGAATGGACCGCGGCCGCACTAGGCTCTTGGACTTGAAGTCTTGGCTCTCTGAACTCAGGCTCCGCGGACCGCGCAGAATGGACCGCGGCCGCGGAGGTCTCTAATGCTATCCGCACAAATATGACCGCGGACCGCACTGGAATGATACTTGTCAAATTACATCTCTCTGATCTTCTCTTACGCGGACAACACATAATGGTAATGCGACCGCGGAACCTTCAGTGTGGACCGTGCAAGATCGAATGCGACCTCACTTCCTTGAAGCTCGATTTGCCAGCTCTCTGAATCCCCTAGTGCGGACCACACAAAGTGTAGTGCGGCCACACTAGGCCTTTTTGTCCTAAGTTTGCCTTGTCTTTGGTACTTGAGCAGGTTTCACTCCTTTTGAGCTGATCTTTGACATTTCGTCACTATGTCGATCAAACCTGCAATCAAGCACAACTTATGAGCCTTCTGGGACTATTTTGTAAAAATTTATAATTAAAGCGTAAGCAGGAAGTAGCATAAAACACATCAAAATTCCTAGTTATGAGTAGCCTATCCTCTTGATGCGAAAATGGAGCTTGGGACCAGATTGGTGTGCTCCACATGAGCCAGAATGTGCTTCCTCCATCGCTTGGCCGGCTTATTCTTTGTCAAGACATCGCAAGAATAGTCCTTCAAAAGAGCGGCAAAATAAAGTCCCCTTGTAGAAGATGAATCGTGGTGCTCTTTGTTTGATGTCTGTTCTTTGTCGCGGATCTTCAGGTAACTTTCCATGTTCAAGGTACTCTATCATTGATTGCCTCCAATCTTCTTCTTCAATTGCTCGAACAGACGTATGATGACTTTCGTTGATTTAAAGATCCAGAAGTCTAGGAATAACCTATCGATGATGCATATATACCTTTGTTGACTCATTCTCTCCAAGTGCCTTCGTCGTGGCCAAGTTAGCCAAAGCATCAGCCTTGCAATTTTCTTCTCTTGGGAAGTGGTTTAAGAACACTTGGTCAAATTTTTCAAGTAAACTAGAAGCGTATTGATGGTATGGCAATAGATCTTCCTTCTTTACCTCGTAACTCCCCAAAAGTTGGTTGATGATCAGCTTAGAGTCGCTGTAGATCTCCAACTGTAGAATCTTTATTTCTATTGCCATTTCGAGACAGAAGATCAAAGCTTGGTACTCTGCAGCATTGATGGAGCATGTTTCATCTAAAACAAAAGATAATGGCAAGACTTGCCTTTCTAGAGAGATCAACCCAACACCTGCCCCCGTACTGTTGCGACGTGCAGATCCATTAAAGAACATTTTCCATGGTGGAAACTCTTCGATGAACAAAACGTCTTTATCTGGAAACTCATCTGAAAGCTCCCATTCTGTCGGAAGAGGGTGATCAGCCAGAAAATTTGCTAGTTCTTGTCCTTTCACAGCTTTTTGAGGTGTGTATGTGATCTCATATTGGTTGAACAATATGGACCATCTTGTTAGGTGTCCAAAAAGAACAGATCGAGTCATCACAAACTTCATGGGATCTGCTCGAGAGATTAGTTTGATGGTGTATGCTTCAAAATAATGCCTTAGCTTCTTTATCGCATAAAGTAATGCTAAGCATATTTTCTCAACAAGCGTATAGTTCATCTCAGCTCCTATCAGATTCGGCTAAGGTAGTACAAAGTCTTGTTCCATTCCTTCCTCATTCTCTTAAGCAAGTAGTGCTCCAAGTGAACGTTCATATGCCGCGATGTAGAGTATCAATGGCTTCCCAAGCATTGGTGCCCCTAACACAGGTGGATTCAGCAAGTATTTTTTGATGCTTTCAAAAGTATTTTGACATGACTGATCCCAATAAAAAGGGATATCCTTCCTCAATAGATGATTGAAGGGTTGAGATCGTCCGGCTAGATTAGAGATGAACCTCCGGATGAATGCTAAGTTTCCTTGGGGACTTCGAAGCTCTCTCAAGTTCTTTGGCTTGGGCATTTTCTGAATGGCGTCAATCTTTGCAGGATCAACTTCAATTCCATGATGACGCACAATGAAGCCAAGAAACTTTACGGAGGTAACTCCAAATGCACACTTGAGTGGATTCATCTTTAGGTCGAATTTTCTTAACCTTTCAAAAACAATTCGAAGGTCTTCAAGGTGGTAACGCCTACTCTTCATCTTCACCACCAAGTCATCGATGTAGAATTCAACCCTCTTATGGAGCATTTCATCAAAGATGTTTTGCATCGCGCGTTGGTAGGTTGTACCGGCATTCTTCAGACCGAAAGGCATCACTTTGTAGCAATATATCCCTTTTGGAGTTCGGAAAGCAGTACACTCTTCTTCTTTTGGAGACATTTCTGATTTGATTGTATCCGGAGGACGCATCCATGAATGACATAGCTTTATGGCCTATTGTAGCATCAACCATGAGTTCAATAATTGGTAGCGGGAAGTAATCTTTTGGACATACCTTCTTTAGGTCTCTAAAGTCAACACAAACACGTATTTGACCATTCTTCTTCTTGATAGGTACAATATTCGATATCCATGATAGGTACTTTACCTCTCGAATAAATCCCGCCTCAATGAGCTTATTGACTTCGACTTCAATTTGTGATACAAGCTTGGGTCGAAACATGCGTTGTGACTGCTTCACAGGGCGTGCTCAACTTTTGATCCCTAAATGATGAACAACTACCTTAGGACTAAGACCAGACATTTCTTTATACGACCAAACGAAGACATCTTTGTACTCGGTCAACAGCTTAGAGTATTCCTCCTCCTCTTGAGGCGTAAGAAGCGTACTAATAAAGGCGAGGCGTGGATCTTTCGGAGTACCTAAATTGAGTTCCTTAATCTCATCCATAGTTGATTGCCCGCCATCTTCTAGTTGAGGTGGAGCCTCATGTACTTCATCATCAACGTTAAGGCATGGGCTATCTTCCACATTTATATGATAGGATGTTTCCACAAAGTCTGACTTTTCTCTTTGACTTCCTTGGATGGTCGGCATGGCTTCTTTCTCTTTCTTTGCTTCTTTACGAGGCTAGCAAGTGTGAACAATGGTTCTCCTTTGCACCTTTAGTGGACCATCTGTGGATATTGACAAAATAGACTTCCTCTTCATACGTGATGGGAAAGCACTATAGATTTCTTTGTCAACAACAATTTCAAAATGATCCCGCTCCTCATGGACTTGCTCCTTATGTTTTGACAGTATATTTCTAGATGTCGACTTCTTTGTGGTCCCTAGGTGATAAAAGACAGAGTTCTTTGAGGTAGTGGAAACTTATTTTAGATGTTTGGAAGATACACGTTCACCTTTGTGACTTAGCCTTTCAAACACCGAGACCGGAGGGGTTGAGCCTCCAATGCGATATAATACTGAAGCCCATTGTTTTATTTTCTTGCCCTTAACTTCCTTCATCTCCTCTACCGAGGTGTATTGTGATGAAGCTATCTTTGCTTCTCTTTGATGAAATTGAAAGAGGATCTGCCAAACTAAACCCCCAACCCAAACTTTGGAGTGGCGACGTAGTGCCCTTGCTTTCTCAACTTCATTTGGGACTCACTGAGCCCATGTATCTTTTCACCAGTGATTTCGTCTTTGAGTTCTCCTAGTTGTGATGGATTGGAGAAGTCATAACCAGACTTTTCAAGCCGTATGAAGGCCTTAGGATCATAGTGCCCTTTTATTTTATTAGCTTGGAGATTGCCTTTAGCAGACTCACAAGTCACGAATGGGATTTGTGCAACTGGGACAATCATAAGCTCCTTCAAATGTTGGATATCTTTGTGACTCATTTTCTTCTTTGGAATACATTCTTGTAGAAAAAGGTTGCCCTTTCTTTCGACGTTTACATGGAACATAGCGAAATACCAGATGCTCCTCAATCTTTATCTGTATGTCACCTTCAGATGATGATAGCTTAATGGAGACTTCTTCTATTCCCTTCTTAGGCAGCTTGGTGGTAGTCCATTGAGCCTCATTTTCCTCTTCTGACTTGACATCAACTTCTCCACTTTCGGTTCACAAGAATCTAGGTAGAATTTTGCATCTGCAAAGTAAGACTCCGTCTCAGTGGAAGGCTTGATGTCTGCATCAATTTTGACTATCTCACCATCTCTTCTGTACTTCAGGCATTGATGTAAAGTATATTATACCACCCCATTCTCATGAATCCAGAGATGTCCAAGAAATAAGTTGTATGATGTTTTAGCATCTATGACGTGAATCAGGATGTTTGAATTCATCTCACCAATTAATAATTATCATACCTATGGCTCGTTGTCCTCCTTGGTTGAAACCGTGGATTGTTAGGTTACTTTTGGATAACTCATCGATAGAGATCCCAAGCTTTTTTAGTACCATCCTTGGCATGATGTTGATAGCCAAACCATTATCAACAAGTATGAGATTGAGATGTCGTTCCCGAATGGACCCTACAACAAACAAAGGTCTGTTATGTGGCTTAGACCCCAACAATAAGTCATCATCTGTGAATGAAATTGTTGCACAACATATGACAACTTTTCTGTGATCGTGATGTTCATGTGTTTTCATTGGAGCAGGCTCATCGTTGCTTTCCATTATTTTGTCAGTACTAGAAACTACATGAGTTGCACTAACGTGACCTCCATGAAGGAATTCTCCAAGAAAGAATTCATGCAATGTCATGGGCTTTCGGAACATCGACGATAAGGCACTGCTAATCTTCTTGCTAGTAGAAGATTTGATATTTCTTGGTGATTGTAGCCTATATGCATTTCTCATCATCTCTCTTGAATTAGGAATTCGTAGCCTCAACATTGCCTGATGTTTTCACTTCTTGTGAGTGACTACAATCCAACCCTCATCGTCTTTGTCTTTGGAGTGATTATCTAGCTCTAGTGAACCTTTAAGAGTTTTCCTTGTAAGATCAACTTCAACGGGCTCGAAACTTCCAAATTGTAAGAATGCAGTGCTTGACATGTTATGCAACTTTGAACACTTCTTTTCCTTGAGCGCGATATGATAACTAAGGACTCTAGTCTAGTTTATGATCCTTTTTGCTTGAGTTTTGGACTAAAATGTTTACAAGTATTCCCCAAAAGCTAAATTATTGTGATTGTTTGTAGTGTTTGGTCAAAAACGGTCAAGGATGTCATAACCAGCTCAAAAAGGCAGTGAAACCTGCACAAGTTCAAAACCAAGTCAAAGCAGCGCTATAGCGGAAAATCCACCGCGGACATAGAAGACCCACCGCGACCGCGGTCCTTTTATCGTGGTCCCGGTGGCAAGGATTCAGAGAGTTGTCATTTTTGGAATTCAAGCTACCGCGGTCCGCGGTGATTTTATGCGACCGTGGTACCCCTACCGCAACAGCAGTCCTTTTACCGCGGTCTGCGTAGAAGAGATTCAGAGAGCCTGGAGTCTGAGCTAATGCTGAAGACCGCGGTCCGCGGTAGACTCACCACTGCAACGGTCCATTTTTTTCTGTCAATGGTACCTCCGTTAGGGGCATTTTTGTCTGAAAAAATTGGTTGTGTATAAATACTACTTTTTCAGATTTTTAGGTTATCTTACGTTAGCTGAGCACGTGAACCGCTGCTTTTGTCTCTTTTGAGTAATTTTGTAGCTTACTTAGCAATTAATCTTAGTCTCTTATCTTGTAATTACACTTTATGGATTATTCTTCATCTCAATCTATGATTTCTTCTTCAATTATGAGTAGCTAAATCCATTAGCTAGGGTTGTGGCTCAACCCTAGTGTGGGTATTTAATGGGTCTCTTGTTTTAGGGCTTAGATGTTTATGGGTAATGGATATTTGGCCTGATTTATGATTTCTATGTTGAATTAGTGGTTGCAAACACTAATTTGTTCCTTTTTGACTTAGACTCTTCTTGAGAAAGAGAGACTAAGTCTACGAATTTCAGGCCAACAAGAAATTGGAGTGTATTCAAGAGATTGATAGCCCCAATTAAAGGGTTAAACCTAGAGATAGTAATACCCGACTTGAGCCAATATTGCTTGCACAAAAAGAATACCCAATTGGGCTTGAGAAAGCCAATTAGGGCAAAGTCACTCAAACTACAGAGAGGTATAGAGTGAGTAGTTTCGTGCATTGGCTATATCACGGTCCCAACTATAACATTATTGCCCTAAGTTTGAGATCCCATTAGATACTCATCTAGGAGAAAGTCACTTCCCTAGTGTCTCTTTACCCATTTAGAAAACCCTACAAAAATATCCATTTAGCTTAATTTCTTGCATCAGTAGTATTAAATTTAGAAGTAACAAACAAACAAGAATGATTGGAAGTGCAATTAAAAGTACTACACATTGCTATATTAGATAGGAATCCAACTCCAAATATATCTAGCTCCTTGTGGATTCGATCCCGACCTTCTCGGGTAAAAGTTGCATCGATCGCTCTTGCCACTATGTAGTGGTGTTAGGTTGGAACCCATCATTTTTTGGTGCCGTTGCCAGGGAGATAAACAGTTTTGGCTATCTATTTGACTTGTTTTGTGTTTTGTTTTCCCTTCCTTCTGTGTTACTAATTTGTGTGTGTCATCAATTCAGGTACAAAATGGCGAACAACGACAATCTTGGAAATGTTATTCCGGGGAGGAGGTAGATGAAAATATTAATGATGAGGTACCTATA